TTTAACAAATATGTGAAATACTCCGTATTATTTTCTTATCATTCATTCTCTTTTGTTTGTAAAATATGAAGTATAAATTAAACTAAGTTTTATAAGTATTTTTGCATTTAATTATTCATTTTCCAATTGTCTATCTTACTTTTATTTGAATGCACTTTCGAATTTTTTTAAATAAAAAGTTTTGTACATTCCAAAGTATAAACTAGGTAAGTATATATATTCGTCTCAATATTTACCGAAACCGAAACCGAACCATCCCGAACCATACCGAACCGATATTTTGGGATCGGGATCGGTACGATGTCAAATCCCATACCGAACCGATATATTTGGTACGGTATCGGTACAGACTAAATACCGTACCATACCGTACCACGCTCACCCCTAATAAAACTATTGTTTTACTACTTTTTTTGATATTTTACTCCAAACTGGTTGTAATTGGTGTGTTTGGTGTTGGTTGGGTTTGATATTTCTACATTTGGTTGTGAAATGGTTGTGTTGGTTACGTTGGTGTTGCTATTGATTTGGCCATGAAATGGTTTTAGAGATAGTAATATAATCGTCAATGGTTTGGACGACAATAACAATCAACAATGATCATGAAGAATTATGATGTATAGTGGTACTACATATTTGTAGTTGACATGGGTTGTGGACAACTCCAACATTTTAAGTTTACGACTTAGAGAGTGTTTGGGAGTGATTAATTTATGGATAAAGTGATTTCTACAAAAGCTGAAAGCAGAAGCTTCTCAAACATGCTTCTCTGAAATGATGTTCTATATACAAAATAGTGGTGGTGAAAAGCAGAAGCTTACATGCCAAACAGAGTAAAATCACTTATAGTCAAAGTAGAAGCTAAATTATTAAAAGCAACACACTGCCAAACACCCTCTTACTTTACACAGATCACACAAATATTTATTACGGAGTATCTATTCCGCAAGATAATAATTATCTTTGTCGATTATATAATGAACACTCAAAATCCAATTCCTCCTTGTTGGATATAGGGGTCCATGTATACAACGAGACTCTGGGTCAAGGCCTAACCACCTAAGCATCCTATGTCCTGACCCACGAGCCTTGTTAATTACGGAGTACATTTGTCCTTTCGATCCCTCAATATAATCCATATTTTCATTATAATTTTATTTTTTCTCTTTTCTCGATAACTTTTGTTTTTCGTACGTTTTCATTGATTATTTGATAAAATAAAATATTTTTGTCACCTTTTATTTTATAAAATTTTTTAATGTATTCCCTCCGTTCCTTAAAACCCTTCCACCCTAAATTTATAGATTACTCATGTTTTTCATTATAGTACATGAGTACTCCCTAATTAACATTAGGCCCCGTTTGGTACACATAATTCAAATTATGGAATTGGAATTGAGGACTTCAATTCCAATTCTGGTGTTTGGTAGCGCAAAAATTATGTGGATTTGGAATTGATAGTGCAAAAAATGAATTGAAATTGGTGATTTCAATTCTATGGAATTGAATCCCATTTAATTTCAATTACAATTCAATTTCAATCACATTAATTCTGTATACCACCAAACGGGCCCTTAATGTTAACATCTTTCTTTGACTTTAATTTGACGATGGGGATAACATTGTTCATTGTTGAATGCAGAAAATTAGTTTTCATCATCATATCCATATATGTTCCATTCTCTACTAGCTTGGTATAAATATTGACTCTTCTACGGACAAATTGGCGGTATATATTCAAATTACGCACGCCAAATATATGTTTTTCGGAAAATTCACAGTACAACATTTCAATGTTCTAAAATTCAAAATCCTTTTTATTGAGGAAATTCCAAAATCTTTTAATTGTCAATTATTTTACCGGCATGAATAAAACCCGGGTCAGCGGATGAGGTTAATTTGGCAGCACGGACTTTCATCAAATTTTGTAAATAAAATACATTTAGTTTTAATATTAATTGCACTCATTTAAAAATATAGTCAGTTAAAACTGATAAAGGCCCAACCCTTTATTGTGCACTCATTTACTGCAAGATCCTTTGGTCATTACTGGATAAACTGATAAAGGCCCAACCCTCACAACCCAGGTTTGGTTTTTTGAAAATTTTGGGAGATTGAGTTATTCTTCTGTGGTTGATTCACAAGTTCAATGTGGACTTTTTATACTTCAAAGATAAAATCTTTTTATTTTTCATATTGGGGATTGGTAAGTGGGTATTTTTATTTTTCATAAAAGATCCGAATAAAATTTTTTATGATACTCCCTTCGTCCCGAATTAAACTACCCATCTCGACTTTTTTCCATTTTTATTAAGTATTGACTTTAGGATGGAAATGTTCAAAATACCCTTTTCCCAATTATCCTCACCCACTGGCCACTACCCTTGCCCCTTGCTACCACCATTTCCGTCAATCCCATCCCACCCCTTCCGCAGGCCCAAAAAAGACCGTCGACCCCCCACCATCGCTGCAGCCCTCACCCCACCTCAGCCTCTGAATCTTTCCAGACGTTACAGATCTAAAAGAGAAACAAATGGGATAAAAGGGGAAATAAGAAGAGGAAGAAAGAAGATGAATTGATTTCAATTGGGGGAGAAGAAAAAGAAGACGAGGAAGAAGAAAGAGGAATGAATCTAGAAGGAAAAAGGAGGACGAGAAAGAACGAAGAAAGGACGAGAAGAAGAAGAAGAAGAAGAAGAAGAAGGGGGGGAGGAAGAGGAACAGATCTGGAGGAAAAAAACAGGGGTGAAAAAGAATTGGGGAGAAGAAGAAGAATCAAAGTGTACAGATCTGGAGGAACAAATGTGGAGAGGAAAAAAAGAAGAAGAAAAAGAGAAGAGGAAGATTATTTTCGGACGGAGGAAGTACCAATTAATGTGCTAAAGTCTACTACAGAATAAGGATGAACCTTAAGATCATATAAGAACACATTACTTTGTACTCCCATCCGTCAAAAGATTATCTTCACATTGTACGTTACGATGTTTGACTGAAGTTATTTTTAAATTATTTTATATGAAAAACAATATGAAATTGAAAAAATACATTTTAAAAAACTAATCAAAAGATCTACAAACTAGAGATGACATGACAATATGAATTTATCAAATAAGTAACGAAAATAGACAACAAAGTAAATAAAGTTTGACCACGTGAATAGTATAGGAGAAGATAATCTTTAGACGAAATGACTCTATTGGTTATTAAACAAAATATTCAAAGGAATTGTAACTTATAAGTTCAACAACATCTCATCACTGCTTCTTATTGTTGAATAGTAAAATTTGCATATTCAATAATTTGTTCCAATTATCTGTCCGCCCAATAAACTTTGCCTAATTAAAGTTGTCTCTCACTTTAATGTTCTAAATCTTACTTGCACAAACAGTGTTGATTTAATAAAATAAATTTATTTATTATCATCACATTCAATGTTTTTTAGTAAAACAATGTGAAAAAACAACTACATTTAAAATAAAGTAACTATTTTTATAGTTTCTTGTAAATGCTGGGTATTAAATATGTCATTTCCAATTAGCATTAATGTTTTAAATAAAATTTTAATACTATTAATTAATTAATATTTGAAATGATAAAGTCGTTAATTAATCTTTTTAAAATGATAATTGTAACTTCTAACCCAATTGTCGGTTGTCAAACTTGACCATAATACTCCGTATATTTTACATTGGCTCAATAGTATGGACCGGACGAAATATCGAAGAAAGTTGCTGGGCCTATAATTTTATTTTTTATGCATTGGGTTTGTTTATTACCGAAAGTAGATTATTTTCAAAGGTTGAATTGTTTAATAAATAAACTCTGTATTTATTGTTAAAGAAAACTCCATATTTATGATATTGTTTTCAGGATAAATGTTGAATCTATAGAGATCGAAGTTTCTCAAACGATAAAATTGATAAAATCTTTGGGAGTCTTAGGGAAGGTTTGGGAATAGTGTTTTCGCTAGCGTTAGTATTTTGAACAAAATTTTAATGCTGCAGATTAATTTTAAAAAACACTAACGCTAAACGTTACTCGTAGATAGTGTTTTCAAAACATTAATGCTAACCTCCGACGCTTTCCCCAAACATGTCTTTTAGACCTGTTTGGGAATAGCGTAAGAGATTAGCAATAGCGATTGGAAAAGGCTATCTATGAGCAGCGTTAGCATTTTCAAAGTAATTTACACCAATAAAATCTTATTTAAAACGTTAACGCTATCCTCTAACGTTATTTCCTAACGTGACCTTCATTAGGATAACTCAAGAATGTTGAATATTTTGACAACATTATCAATTGAGTTAGAATGGATAAAAGAGATGGATTACATACATTTGATCAATGAATTTAGAATTTCGATCACGAAAAGTACGAGGAGTATATTTTTTAATTTTTTGATGGAATTATGAGGAATGAAGTACTTCGGTCTAGATTATACCAAGAAGGGAGGGTGCTCCAGGGTCACGTTCGTAAAATTGAATTTTCCTACCCCGCCTAACCCTCTCGGTAAACCCCCCACCCCGCCCTGACCCGAACATGCCCCCCCACCCCCTTCAATTGCACCCCCAAGTTGATTTTGATTTTGGAGTCAAATACACCATAATTTTATTGATCATTATCTTGTAACTATTATTTTAATACGGAATATAATTTTTTTTGATGATAGCCGTGTTAATTATACTAATAAAAGTTTGTCCAAAATGCTAACACTAATCGAAAACATTTTCTAAATACACTTGATTTACTTTTGGAAAATGCTAGAGTCACAAACATATAGTTCACAAACTTCACAAACTTGCTTTTTGTGAATTTTAAAATAAAATATCTTTTATTATTTGAGTACATCTTATTTCTAGAAAAGTGTTAAAAAGGTAAGTTTGTGAATTTTGTGAACTGTTTATTTGTGACTCTAGCATTACTCTTTACTTTTTGCCTTAGACCCCGAAAGTACTAAAAATGGCACTTTGTACTACGGAGTATATGTATATCTCCTTTCAGTCTAATTTTTTTGTCATGTTTTGAACTTTTTTAGTCAAAAAGTGATACTCTTTGATTATAAATTGTAACCAAACTATATTGAATTATAATATAAATAAAACATAATTAGTTTCATCTTAGGATATTGTTTTGATATCTACGGGCAGCGTTTAGCGTTAGCAATTTCAAAGTAATCTGCACCGTTAAAATTTTATCAAAAACGATAACGCTAATCTCTAACGCTATTCCCAAACACGCCCTGAATCATAAAAGATTGAATCCACTCGATTACTTAATTAATAATATTTGGATTCTGGTCCAACTAGTTACCGAATATATTTGAATATCCTTTATAATGCCGGAGATTGTCATACATATTTGGTAACTAGCTAGTTCACTTGGACCTGAATTCAATCAAAATTAGTTAAGTAATTAAACCAGTAAAAGATGTTATCCATTCCCCAAAAGTAGCCTATTTAATCTTTTTAAAGTTATCCAAAACTAAATCCTGCCCACTTATCATGCGAGATCTCTGACATTATATCCTATATAAACCATATATATATATATATATATATATATATATATATATATATATATATATATATATATATATATATATATCGACCTCTATATATATAACAACCCCTCCAAACCCTAATCCAAACCATTCATTCATCTCTTCCATCATCATCATCTTCTTCTTCTTCTTCAAATTCTCTCTGCAGATAATTATCACATTATAATTATAGCACAATTATTAGTAACAACGTAAGAATGGGATCTCATGAAAAGCATAACTGTGTCTGGACAATATTGCCCCTCTGGCTCTGTGCGGTGTCCTTCCTCTTCTTGGCGGCCAACAATGGCGGCCCCGCCACCGTCGGAGCTTCGCATGATGTTTATAATATGATGAATGTGCAGTCGTCGTCTCGGGCGACCCCACATTCTATCAACCACATTCATCGCACCGGCTACCATTTTCAACCCTCCAGGAATTGGATCAATGGTACGTATAGTAACTAGTAACATGTGTAGAATTTTACGCGATTTGAATTCGATTTTATTAAACACAAATACGGTATTTATAAGTTATAGTCTAACGTAATTATGATCCAAAAAAAATTGAATCCATAACAATAAACCCTAATACATGTGTTAAATCACTTATGCACATCGCAAAACTCAAAGCGTGTCTTTTACTATAATTAAATATAATACATATCGTGCGTTAAATAGATAAATAGTATTTTAAATATATTTTGTAAAATAATTCTAATAAATTTTTTGTATCAATATCTAAAATCATTTTTTTTTAATTTGTGGTGACAGAAGGCTAATTTTGACCCAGAAAGTAAAAATAGGACAAGTAGTAAGAGACGGAAGAGTATTTTTTTTGGAAAACTTTGACGAAAAAAAGAATATTCAGAGTTTTTAGAAAACCTATAACCTAGCCTTCTTACCAATATTCAAACTATATCTATTTTTTTATTTATTTTTTCATTAAAAAAGTCAAGTTACTATTTGTTTTGTTAAAATCTTTTATACGGAATATAATTTTTTAAATATTTGATTTTTATTTTTTAATTCTACGTGAATTTATTTTAAAAAATACTGGGATTTGTTCCATGGGTAAGAATTAATTTGGACGTATATATAGTTTGGTCTTGGATTACAGCGGTGGTAAATAACGACTAACGAGAATGTTGAATATTTTGGATGCATTCAAATCTTTGCTCTCTACAACGTTACACCCGTGAATTTGAATGCATGGTGTTTTTTTTCGATATTCACACTTTAATTATTACTCCATAGTCCATCCTATAAAACTTTTCAATGACAAAAAAAAGTGTATCTTAAAAATGAATAATTTTTATATTATTTTTAGAATTATGACTCATGTTTCGTACACATTACATCCAATCAAAGTAAGGGTAAATTGGAAAATAATATTAAAATTATATGTTTTTAAGGTGTGTCTTTTTTCATCTTTGAAAAATTTTATTAGACAACAAAGTATAATTAAGGTCATTGGTCAACTCTCTGCTTTCGTTTTCATAGTTATCCCCAACGGGGACATAATATATTAATATATTAATACGAAAGAATAAACCTCATTCCCTAAGCAATAGTGTAATATTGACAGAGTCCTCCCGATTGTTATTTACATGATTACCTCTATTTACAATTAACTCTTTATAACTAAAACGGGCATTTATCAAGTTTTGACTTTTATAATCAAAATTTAAGAACATTAATCATTGATTACATAGAATTTATAATGAATATTGACAGAAGAATTATTTTATAAGATATATCTTATAAATATTTTTTCAAAATATGATTTTATATAAGTAATATATCATGTAATTTTTATTTAATTCTTAGTTGAATGTCGATCCTAGTTGAATGCAAAAACTCAAAACTAAACGAAGACTCTGGGATGACGTGGGTATGATTTTTGAGATACATAATAAATAAATAAATATAGATATGATGTATTCAAAATATTATTATTCAACTTTTGATATAATCTCAAAAGTCATACGCGATACACATTTAATTGTCAAATTAAGTGTCAAAAGGGAATTTTTTTTATGGGACGAAAGAAGTGTATCACTCACCTCGATCACTAAGTCATACCATATAAAATATATTAATTCATATATTATAAAACATTGAAGGTCAGATTTAAAAAGTTTTGACTTTGAAAAAACAAAGTTTTTATTTCACCTAATATAAAAGAAAAAAACTGCATACACCAACCTACATTTTTCAACGTAGGGAAATTACTAATTGTGCTTTAATTAGTGTCATAGTCAGGAAGATTCTGGAAGTCGTAATTCTTGACTCTCTGTTTTGCTTCAATTCATATTTCATTACTTCACCTTTAAACAAACAAACAAACAAATAAATATGAACATATGCTTGTCCTGCATTAATCGTAACAATATAATCCAATTATCATTTTAAGGAAAAATTTCATAACTTACAATAACTTATTTATTTAGTTAGTAATAACCCTAATGTTATGTGGAAGATGCCACCCCACTTGTCTTTCAAAGTAACAACTTATGTTACATTTACACCAAAAAATGTATCCCAAATTTACATCAAAGATATATACTAACATTTGATAGTTCACACTGGCACAAAATGTTATTACGATTAAAAAAGTACACTAACATTTTGTACTTGTATGAACAATTACCCCAGCATCACACTGACACAAAATAAAGGTGCACACCTGTGGTGTACAATTTGGGATACATTATGAAGTACAAATAACTTAATACTCAAAGTAAATATACTCTTTAAATGAAGAAGTACAATAAACAAAAAGTCCAACTATGTGATCTTTTAAATCATTGACTAATTGCTTGAATTACTTCCTTCCCTTGCATGGTTGCTGTGGTGTGGGGGTCCTTGCCTACATTTATCAACAGATCCTAATGGTTAGTATTTATTTTGTTACTTAATTATTATTATTATTGCATTGACTATATTTTTAAAATACTTAATGATATAAACTTTTTGTCAAATCTCTAAATGCAATAAAAATGCAGGCCCAATGTATTACAAAGGATTGTACCATCTGTTCTACCAGTACAACCCAAACGGCTCATTATGGGGCAACATAGTTTGGGCCCATTCGGTGTCCAAAGACCTCATCAATTGGAAGCCACTTAAGCCCGCAATCTACCCGTCCAAGCCCTTTGACAAATTCGGGACATGGTCCGGATCCGCTACGATCCGGCCCGGAAACCGGCCCGCAATCATGTACACCGGCATCGTCGACGACAAACAATCCCAAGTCCAAAACCTGGCGTACCCGGCTGACTACAACGACCCGTATCTCCAGGAATGGGTCAAGCCCGACCACATCAACCCGATCGCGGTGCCCGATTCGACCATCAACCAGACCGCCTTCCGCGACCCGACGACCGCCTGGCTCGGCCGCGACGGCCGGTGGAGGATGTTGGTCGGCGGCAAGAGAGGCGGCCAGAGGAGAGGGATCGCGTTCCTGTACCGGAGCAGAGATTTCTTGAAATGGGTCAAGGCGAAACACCCGCTCCACTCCTCCGACGGAACCGGGATGTGGGAGTGCCCCGATTTCTTCCCGGTTCGGGTCCAGGGGACGGCGGGTCTGGACACGTCAGCCACCGGCGGGGAGAACGGCGCCGCCGCCGTGAAACATGTCCTGAAGGTCAGCCTTGACGAGACGAGATACGAGTATTATACGGTGGGAGAGTACGACGAGGGAAAGGACAGATATACCCCTGATAACTCTTCCGTTGACGGATGGAATGGATTGAGGTTTGACTATGGAAATTTCTATGCTTCAAAGACTTTCTTTGACCCGAGCAAGAACCGGAGGATTCTATGGGGTTGGTCCAATGAATCTGATTCATACCCGGAGGATCTTGTCAATAAGGGCTGGGCTGGAATTCAGGTATAAATATATAAATCTATTTTCTTGTCTTTATAGTTTCATTGATGAAATATGATTATGTTGAATAGGGGTATAATTGGAATTTTTTTATTGAATGATAAAATAAAGGCGATTCCACGTACAATTTGGCTCGATCCTCTTGGAAAGCAAGTGGTACAATGGCCTATCAAAGAAGTGGAAGCCATTAGGCATAACAAAGTTGAATTAAAAAATCACAAGCTCAAAATGGGAGAAAAGATTGAAATTAAGGGAATCACTCCTGCACAGGTTGGTCTGACAAATATGGAGTATTAAATTCAATCGATTACTTGATTTATTTTAAGATTTGGGATGAATTTCTTATCATGATGGTGTGTTCGCAGGCTGATGTTGAGGTGACGTTCACATTCCATAGCCTTGATAAGATGGAGTCGTTTGATCCGAATTGGGATATCTACGATGCTCAAAACCTCTGCGGCATCAGGGGATCAACCGTTCAAGGTGGTGTGGGCCCATTCGGTCTCGCGACTTTAGCTTCAAAAAACATGGAAGAGTTCACGCCCGTTTCGTTCAGAGTGTTTAGGACTCAAGACGACACACACAAAGTCCTCATGTGCTCTGATGCAACAACTTCAACCTTAAACAACACAAACATGTACACGCCGTCATTTGCTGGATTCGTGAACGTAGACTTAACGAAGAACAAGAAGATTTCACTTAGGAGCCTGGTATGACAACTTTTTCTTTCGAGTACTATCATTTGGAGTGTATACTCCTTTCATTCCATATCAACCGTCGATTATGACTTTTTGGATACATTGTAAAGTGAATGAATATAGGCATAACGTATGTCTACGTTCATTACGTGGAATAGATGGAGTAGCATTCATAAGGTTATTGAGGTTTCTTTTCTTTTCTTTTGTCGATTTTACAGATCGATCATTCGGTGGTGGAAAGCTTTGGGGCGGGAGGGAAAACGTGCATAACATCAAGGGTTTACCCGACGTTGGCGATCAATGACGGTGCACATTTGTTCGCGTTCAATAACGGGACGGAGCTAGTGACTATAGAGACATTGACGGCATGGAGCATGGTTAATCCTAAAATAAATTAAGTGTGGAGATGTATACTAATATAGGAAGTAAATAGGAATAAGTTGGTGATTTGACATTTAATCTGGTTAGGCTTCATCCACATTAATTAGTCTTTTTCTAGCTGTTATTGTGTCAATGTTTTTTTGAACACTTATTTTGTCAATGTTAATCCTTCAGAATTCAAACATTAACTCATTTTGCGATCCAAACAAACGGCAAATGTTATTATTAACATTATTCATTAGTGTAAATAAACAATTTTTTTAGAAGTTGAGAATACTCAAATTGACAAGGCACAAGAAAACATCAGTAATGAGTTTGAAGCTAAATAAACAAAAAAATCTATCCAAGAGGCCAAGACAATGCAACATAACACCTCATTTTTGAGATATGCCAAATAAATAAATGAACTTAATATTCTGAGACACAACCATATACCCAAAATTTGAAACATTAAGGCTAACCTAAGATAATCAAGATGAAACATGTTACCAAATCCACCAACATGATTAACTTACATATCAATAATGTAAACAAATCATTCATTTACCTCTCTCGAATAACTATTTGAGTCAAATATAAGATAATCCTAGGATGAGGTTCATTCTTAAAAAAGATACTGTACTTCTTAATTCATTCATATTTGTCTATTTATAATGAATAGACACGTAATTATATCGAGTATTTCATAAAGTAAATCTATTACTTAATCCATATTAGTAATACTTTAATAATAATGTCAAAGTAGGGGCCTCCTTATTTTTTTAAAAAAATTGTCACAATAAAATTTCGTTCCACATAAAATCGAAATTTATTGCATATTCTTTAATACGAGTAAGTGATTTTTTACTACGTTGCACAAGACATGATTTTTTTGTCTGAACCCGCAACGATATCTTTGCATTTGATTTGCTTCTGCTAAATGAATTTGTATGCCATACATCTAAATTGTTTATTAGATTAACTCCATAATAGAGAAAACACCGCAGAGATCAGAAGAGATCTCACATCCCCCTACATCCCTTGTACCACTCCATCAACAAAATTGATTTACTTTACTAATGAGACCATAATAGAGAACATAAACCTCTTAGGAAACATTCTCGTTAGGTACATTGATTTTTAAGCACAAGGATTGAAATTAAAATTCGAATCAATCTAAACCAGGTTAGGCCAATTACCCTTGGCAGAGGCAGAGACCGTCTTAGGAGCTGCACGCAAATTATACCGTACATCCGGCTGTACAGGAAGAACCGTACAGCCGGCAATCAATTAGGGCGAATGGATCGGCGATTCCCGATCGGTGATTCCCGATGAAGGAGGCTGCGCCGCGATGAAGATAGAGGTTGTTGATGAAGGTCTTCCGCAGAGGTTGTTGATGAAGATGGAGGTCGTTAGATTCCCGGCTTTAGCATGGTATAATATTGTCCTTGATTTTCTAGCAAAAACTATAAGGTCCCAAATTATCTAAAATATATATACTCCAAGGGTCCTTAATAAGGTCCCAAATTATCAAAAAAAACATTTAATAAAAAAATACATTAATAAAAAAATTAAAACAAATTACATTTGGACTTGATTTCTTTTTGTCTAGTCTCGAAAAACATACGTTTAAAGTCTGAAAACGTATCAAGGTCCCATTATTTCGGTATCTTCCTTCTGTTACCTTCGATTCTCCCTATCTTCTTCCCTAATATTGAATACCCGTAGTTGTTCAACCATTGCCCGACCGATTTCGTCGTGAAAGGAAACGGAGGCTGACAGAGACCCTCCAGAACCCGAAGTGATGGATTTTGTCTTCTTTCTTCCCATTGGATGCAAAATGGGGTCCTCGTCATCGGAATTGTCTAAGTTGAAGGGAGGTCTTTGTTCGGACGAATCGATAGTGTCATCGACCTCAAACTTGGCCTTGGCGGAAGATCTTTTCAAACTAAGTTCAATCAAATATTATAAATCGAAACAAACAATTTAAATTGAGATGAAGAGAGTAATATTTTTTCAACATTCTCATTTTCTATGAAAGCCTTTTATATTCTCTATTACTGATAGCCATTTGAATAAAAAAAATGCGCCATGTAGAGGGTGCAATTGAAGGAAGTGAGAGTATGTTCGGGGCGGGGTGGTGAATTTATTAGGGGCTTAAGAGAAGTAGAAACCGTCAATTTTACGAATGAAACATCAGAACGCTACCAGATCATCCCATGACATGGAGTTCTAATTACTTAATCCATATTAGTAATATTTTAATAATAATGTCAAAGTAGGGGCCTCCTTAGTTTTTTTAAAAAAATTGTCGCAATAAAATTTTGTTCCACATGAACTCAAAATTTAATGCATATTCTTTAATGAGTGATTTTTTACTAGGTTGCATAAGACATGATTTTTTCCTGAACCCGCAACGATATCTTTGCTTTTGATTTGCTTCTGCTAATTGAATTTGTATGTCATACATAATACATCTAAATTCTAAACTGTTTATTAAATTAACTCCATGATCCCTATATACTAGATTTGGTTTAAAAATAAAGGTTGAAAAGAGAATTCTTCTTAGGCACATTAATTTTATAATTTGGGTTTTAAGAGCTGAGGGGTTACAATTTGAAACAAAATGGAATGGAGAAGTATTCTCATTGGAGATGGCATGGGGAGACAGAGTAAACTGGAGATATGTGGTTTCGAAAAGCTAATATAGCTTAAGGTGCTCTAATGATGTTCGGAATGTTGCTTTAAATTTGCAAAAAAAACCCACGAATCTTACACGACTCCGATTGAGCTTTCAAAACAAATCAAAAACAAAACGAACCTCTTGATACTCAAAATAAATGTAAAAAAACAAAACAAAACTAATCGGACGTTGACGTTCTAACCATATGAGAAAACACCGCAGAGAAGAGATCTCACAGCCTGCGTCCCCTCCTACCACTCTTTCTACGAGTGCTATCAGTTGGAATTGGAGTCACATCCTCTGCAAAACAAAACAAAACAAAAAGAGCAAGTGATTAAATTGCTGATATCAAATATGATACGGAGTTGCAAATAACGATATTTTAAAAAAAAGGTACATGCTAGTATGTTCTTATTGTAACAAAACATAACAAAAAAAGTTATATTAGGGTGTTACAGAGTATTTGCAAAACGAGATACCCTTATGTTATGTGGTTTTACGAAATTTCCAAAAAAAAAGAACTCAATTTGACAAGGTTGGGGAAGTTAAGGGAAACTATGACTAATGTACGAGTAAATTCCATAAATAGTCCCCAGTTACAAGTGGTTTTCTATATTTAGTCCCCAATTATAAGATATTCCATAAACGGTTGTCAATTTTTGAAAACTATTCGTATATATTGATCCTTCAGGGACTATCTGTGGAAAAATATATTTTGTAATATGTGGTGAAAAGGACTATTTGTGGAATAGTTTTCAAAAACTGAGGACTGTTTATGGAGTACTCCGTATCTTATAACTGGGGACTAAATATGAAAAACTACTTCTAATTGAAGACCATTTATAGAATTTACTCCTAATGTAAATTTACCTATACGGCCAATCCTCATGCCTGAACGAGAGAGGGCTCGGAGGGCAGACTGAGCTCCTGGGCCCGGAGTCTTGGTCTTGTTGCCACCTGTTGCTCTAAGCTTAATGTGAAGTGCTGAGACTCCAAGCTCCTGCATGTAAGGAAGTTCAAAACCGTTGGCATGTTGTCTCCATGTATGACATAACAAAACAGCAAAAGGTTCCCATGCTAGTGCCATTGTATTCAAAAAGACTTCAAAGATTTCCGCAATGCATTCTTCACTCGCACACACATGTAGGTCTTCATATAGGCAAATTCATATGAATGTTATGTGAGAAAACTGCACCCCATCATATCAATTAGAGGAAGATGTTACCTTGCATCGTTGAGACACGTCTTGTGCTGCGAGCATAGCTGCATATGGGGAAGATTCATCCCTGTCAGCTTTGACCTTCATCCCACCTGCAGTACATTCAACAGTGAGAAACTGAGAAAAATAGTTCTGCATTTTAAAATTTATAAAACCCAACAGCGAGTATCATAAATATAAAGAACTCTATTCAAGATTGTCTCCAACAACTACCACGATAGATGCGTCTTTTCAGTTAGCAGGGCTTTTTGTGATTTTATTGACATTGCGAGGAAAAACCACTAAAGAAGAACAATAATTGCAACATTTGTACAAAACAAGTCATGTTTCCCAGTGTAAAGCGTTTTGAATATTAGTAAGGCACAATTTCATGTTTAGCTAAACTCAACATACCTAACTTGTTTGGTCACTTCCAAAATAAACCATTAAATTAGAATTTTATTTGCTACAAAATGAATATTTGAAACCTTTGGAATGAAAAAATGACAAGCTTAGAGAGGCAAGAAAGAACATGAACCAGAATGATAACCATATCAAAGATGAGAAGAGGGCTGAACATACCAGTGGTGCGGACCAGTGTTTCACGGCCAGACAAATCGGTAACATGCTGGATAAGAAATTAAGAAAAAGTACATATATGAGTGACAGTAGTAAACTCACAGTTAGGTAATAATTGGTAAACAGATAAGAGGAATTAGAGGAACATAAAAAAAAGCACTTACGATGAATGTGTCATTGAATGATGCAAAAATGTGAGCAACCCCAAATACCAATTCACCATCCCTAACTGCTGGCCCAAGGTTCACATTATCCTCCTTGGGCTCCCGGGTCTTTCTCCTAGACTTTAACACGAAAAGCATCCATTCGTTGCACATTTAGTAAATCAAATCATGTCTTGAGCAAAAATCATGCATCAAATTTACTTGATACTTTCTACACCATGAATAAGAATCAGACTGCATTATTCATAGACATTACTCATTGTATATTCATAATTAAACTTGCAGCAAAAAAAAGCAAAACACTACATTGTTGGTAAAATACTACGGAGTAAGTTATATTAGTCCCTCTACAGAACCAAACAAATTAGTTGTTTTGCAACTACCATTTTAATGATCTTCCCTAATTTCTTTTGAGAAATACTTGGTCCACAAACAAAACGGTCACAAATGTCGGGAGACTTACTATTTGTGTGCTTCAATAAAAAAAATAAAGTAGTCTAAAATAATTTTAAAATGAGAATCTAAACTATAAATAGTAAGTTTGTGAACAAGGAAACAAATTAGCCTATAAATCCTCATATATCCCTTTCACGCTATTGTTTATTTCTTAAATTCAGCAACAAACAAAATCGAAACAGGGGACGCATAATAGAATTTTTTAAGCTGAAATTCTTCCCATGAAATTGCTTGAGGTAACATTGAACATGTACAGCTATAGCAGAACACAAAGGAGTTCGAATTTTCTATATAATTTCTGGGGATCTCAAAATGTGGAAGATCGATCTTAGTATTAAACACAGAAATTGCAAAGATGACGACTTTACCATGATTTAGGATGGCCGAAGGAGGATGGTTGGAGCTGCGGCGCGCTACTACGGACGTTTGAAAACCCTAGTTCAATGAATAGCGAAGGAAAAGTGTATATATAGCTACGGTTGGAGATAGGGGTTGGCATATATTTGAAAAGAGCAATGCTAGAAAAAATGTGGTTCTCCTCCACACATCTGTATTTGATTTTTATTTTTTTAATTTTTTTTGAATCTCTTGCTAGTTATTGTGGACAATGAGGGGTGGGGGACAATTGGGATACAACTTTTGGTGTACCCCTAACATTTTTCATTTGAAAACCCTAGGTCTCGCGTTTTGTATTGTTTTTTTCAAACGGTTTGCAAAGGTTTGGGCCACAAGTCTATCACTTTTTGTCTCCTTAATATTTGGGATCAGAAAAAAAGGGAACGGGTTTGGATTGTCTGATTTTGTCATTGTCTAAAATTAGATATAAAAATATAAAATACATAAAGAAGAGATATCTTGCTTTGACTTGCAGAGTAATGTAAAATGATCTATTTATTTAGAATCTTTTAAAAACCCAAAAGAATAAAGAAACATGAAAAATGTTAAAACATACGTCAAAAGTCAAGACTATAAACTTCATAAAAACTATGAGCCACAAGTTAAGTGGATCAAGTTAGAACGTTTAGAATTTTAAGTGTTCCAGTCCTATTCCATTTTTTTATATTCAAATATGGATATTTTTTATATGTATTTTTGGAAAAAAAATTACAATACTTTTTTGTTATATCATTATATAAATAAATAAATAAATAAAACAGTTCAGAAAGGGTGTGGGATAAAACTTTGATACCTTTTTTGATATATAATTATATAATATTCATATGTCCCAGTCGCGTCATGTCCCATTTTAAAACGGTTCAAAACGGGTTTGGGATAAAATTTTGACATCCCTTAAAAAACGGAATATTATGGGGACAAGACCGATATATTTTGGGTCGAGATAACAATTTCGGGATACTTACCCACCCTAAGTTTGAGATACGTAGTATCCCGAAAATACCCTGGATTTGTTGTAGCAAACTAAGCAAATGGTTGAACACAAGGTTCGTTTTCACACATTTCTTGTCTATATATTTCGAGACGCAAGGAATATATGAAATACTTTTAATTTGAATTTTTGCATCATTTACTAACGAATTCCTCAAAAATTGCATGAATTCTTCTAAACTTTAAAAATGATACCAATGATCTTGAACTTTTAAAAACAGTGCATCAAAGATCATTTTACACCACATTTGGTAGTACGTTAATCACTTTATCTTGGTAGTACGTTAATCACTTTATCTTGGCGAAGTAGTTGATCGATCTTGATGAGCTTGGTCGGTTGATGCCCGACCTTGGATTTTGGTTATCGACGATTAAAGTGAGAATAATTATATAGAGTTTTGGGAGGTTAAAAATTGATTTCATTCGTCCAAAAAAGCGTCCCAATTATATCTGAAACAAAGTTTAAAAAAATGATTGAAAGTGATTCAGAAAAGAAAGAAAGATGTTGAACCATACAAATTTTGCCAAAATTGGAAAGAAGGGTCTTACTCTCGGACAAATGTAATGTTTGAAAAAAACAAATATTACAGAACTCATGTGTGATATAAAAATTTAGATTAATCAATACTTATATAGGATGAACGTATAATTAATTTATTCCCAAATTTGATACAAAAAGATTTTTGATGCAATGTATTTTAAAATTTGGAGGCCACTAGACAAATTTAGATTTTTTTAGGGAGAAAGACCAAAGTAGGACTAAAACATTGAAAACATACCAAAATAGGACTTCCATGTTTTTATTCACGAAATAGGACTTACATTACCAAACATGGTCATATATATTATCAAAAAAGTATAATAATCTGCACATGTACATTGCCACATTACCACAATGCAAAATCACATTACCAAAGTCATATTACAGGAGAAAAACATGAAAGTCCTATTTTAGTAGTTTCTCTATATTTTAATCCTATTTAGAATGATTTCTATTTTTTAATTTTCATGAGAGGGATTGAGTAATTGAAATTGTGGTGTCAATGGTGGAACTAGATAAGCTTTTGTGGTAATTTTTGTTGAGCAATAAATTCTTTTCAAAATTTAATAGACTCCTCCCTAAATATTACTCCCTCTGTCCACCATAGATTTTCCCAGACACTATTCACAGGGTAAAACTTTACTCACTTTGTTTGTTCAATTTTACTAGTCATTTCATAAAATAATATAGTCTTGTCACCTCTAGTTTTGTAGAACTTTTCATGTAGTTTATTACTATATAAATTTTATTTTAAAATTTTACTTCTATAATCAATTAAATTGAATTGAAAATAAAGTCGGTCAAGCCTCGTAACGCGTAATGGAAGATCATACATGGACGGAGGGAGTATAGAATAGAATTAAATGCACCTTCGGATAAGGACGCCCCTAATTCCGCCCGCATTCCTATGGGTCCCGCTACTCGTATGTTTAAGCATCCGTCCCAGTGAAAACAACACACGCGTCAGAATATCCACCGTCGATCATCCCCGGGTCCCACACTTCCGCGCGATCCTCGCCGTCCATACTCGGAAACCGTGGGCTCTATCGCTTTAATAAGAAGAGATAATGGCGATGCACGATTACGTGTTCCCTCACCGCACGCGATTAGTTCCTCTTCTGCGGTGGAGATATGCCGTCATCCCTGTATCGCACTATGGACCAAAGCGGCGTCGGCGCCCACCGGCAGGGCCGATCCCCGTCGACGGATCGATTCCTCGGCGTTTTCTCGCCTCCGAAGGCCGATTCCGCGATTGGCGGCGGCTGTGAAGCGGAGGCCTCGTCGGGCGGAGGTGAGCTCAATGAAGACGACGTCCTCTGGACTGGACTGGACTTTACGGAACCTCTGCGGCGTTCCAATTCCTCCAACCAGAACAGTCCGCGGCAAGGTTTTGAGAAGCCTGAGAAATTCGGCATCCTCGCGGCGTTGCCGGAGGATCTACGAAAAGCCTGCCGCTCTCTGATCTATCAGAAGCACGCCACGGCGTCGTTTGCTCGGGATTTGCCTTCGATCCCGAAGCCTACGGCGGACAGGGAGCAAAGCCACGGATATAACCGCAACTATTCGCAGTCAATGCCGGCTGCGAAGTTCCAGCACTCGGCTCCGATGAAAGTGCCGATGATGCCGAAGAAGGCGACGAGGAACGGCGGACTTGGCGATGCGGAGGTCGATGATGTAGACGCCGATGATGAAATGCTGCCGCCTCACGAGATCGTCGCTCGAGGATCGGCTATGTCTCCCAAAACCACTTTCTCCGTCCTGGAAGGAGCCGGAAGAACGCTCAAAGGGAGGGATCTTCGTCAGGTTCGCAATGCCGTGTTTCGTCAAACAGGTTTCATCGACTGAGAACAATAGATAAAAACCAGTGATCTTTGCTCTGCCAATTCGACTGAGAAGTTCAAAGTTTTCCAGATACATTTCAGTCATCAAGTTGATTGCTTCATTAGATTTCTGGAGATACAGTGTAAGAAAGTTTTATTCATACCTTCTCCTTTTAGTTTGTAATTGTTTCAATTAGTTTGTCTATGTGTATCTGTGAAAATTTACAGTGTTCATTCAATTCCTTGAAGAAATACAGAAAACTTTGATCACTAATCTGAGAATCTTATATATATTAATTTGTTTTGAAAAATTGCAATGTTTTGGTAAAATATGCATTTGAATATTGTTGTAGCCCTAGCCTCAGCTCCTTACTTGCAAAGGATTTGAATTGAGAATTGATGCTTGATTATCTGCAATCATTTTTGGCATTCTGATGCTATTATGATGCTAATGCATTTAAAGAATGCAACTTTAACTTGGGTTGGTTATGAATGAATGCCATTTTATGACACAAGTCTTCAACTTGGATTGTTGAATTGTAGTATTATTTGGTCTCTTGCATAGGGCACTCAAATCTTTAAGGGTCTCATACCTTATTTCTTTATACAACCCAAATTTGACATCGAAAAGGTATGTGATTTTTTGTTAACAAATTCAACTCGATTGTCATCTGTGGTGTCATTCTTAGGGTCATTGCAGCATGACTCGGGAAATGTGTGAGTTTGTTTGCTCAAACAGTCCAACTGTGTGCACATGGTTGCATTGTCTATGGGAACAAATTTTTCAAATTATACCCGGTTGTCACTTGTGGCGTCAAACTTGGGGTAATTGTGGCATGACTAGGGGAAAAAGGGTTTACAGTCTGTGTAAACCCTCCTATTCATAAGTCTTTATGTGTGGTTCTGATTCAATCTGGAAATGCGTGTATCAATGTTACGGAGTATATGGTAATCCATTTGTTTTTCTTATGGGGGTTTAAAAGTACAAGGTTATCTCCCACTGTGTAAAACGAAGTTCTGTTTTGAAATAATAAAGCACTGTATATGGTAATTATATTGTCCTCAAACATGGAAGTAATTAATCTGGAGGTCATTATTTCAAGTTTTTCTATTCTACCGTTGTCATAGCACAAAAATGTTAAAAATCTACCACATTTGACACCAAGAATTTGACTTTTAGTGTCAAGAGTTGGTGTGACACTAGTTGGGTGCACGGTTCCCACTTTATAGAGTATGTTTGTTTTTAGGACCATGTTAGGGTGTCACCACATGGGTGCTACCATGGATGCACTCATGCTTCGCATAGACAAACACAGACGATAATTGTCTGTGCGACACAGACAATTATCGTCTGTGTTTGTCTGTGCGTAGCATGGGTGCACCCATGGTAGCACCAATGTGGTGGCACCCTAGCATGGTCCTTAGAAAAATGCTAGGGGTACACTTTTGGTGTACCCCAAACATCCCCCACCCCCTCCATCACCATAAAAAAAGCAAGAAAAATTTAAAAAAAAAATAAAAATTAAAAACAAAATAAAATGAATGGTAAAAAGAGGGGTAGTGTGGGGTGTACCCCTAGCATATCCCATAAAATTACTATAGACCTTCCTAACATACCGCTCCAACCTTTCTTCACTCGTATCTATGACGTCTGTGCAAACAAGGGTTGACTCGTTCGGCCTGCCCAGCCCGTCTTTTAAAATGGATGGGTATGAATAATCTTTGATACCACATGGGCAGACGGGCCCAAGCTTGAATTATATTTGGACAAATCTAAAATTTACTTTTAGCCCATTCGAGCCAACAAATTCACTCATATCTATCAAATACATTTACTTTATTATAAATTACCTAGCCAATATAAATTTTAAAATTTTCTATAATTTATGTGTAATAGTTCATTTCACTCACCTTTATTAAACAAAAATCAAGTCTTTTAATGAATCTGTATTATGTTTTCTATATAAATGTGGTAATTTTATTTTAAATATTGAAAAAAAAGTTCAAGGTTTTGTTTTTTATGTCTTATGTGTAAAAAACATTTTTTTGATATTTTATCCGGTTCGTGCAGCCCCAGTGGATCCACTAAGATAAATGAGTATGAGTAAAAAGTTAAGCCCATCGAATTTGGGTCAGGCCAAGCCCACCCATGTAAATAAGTTAATAATTCATTAATTTGTATCAAGCCGGATCCTTATTTGCAGTCTACTACGGCAGTTCACTCCATTTGAAGTTCACTATTAACATTTGCGTCTATGCAAAATAAAACAAATCAGTCAAGATTTAAGTTCGATAATTTCAAATTCGAATTACTTCGGTTTGGATCAATTTAAATTCAAATTGAAAACTGAATATTTTTTATCCAATGTCATCAAATTCAAGTTGACTAATGGATTATGAATTTCATTTTTAAATTTTTTATAATTCATTAAAATTTCACATTTAATAAATTAAAATATAAAAAGATACTCCCTCCGCCCCTAAATATTCACAATATTTGCTTTTTCAGCAGTCGCAGGAATTTTTGTTTATTTCTACATTTTCATTCGTTATTTGATAAAATAAAATATTCTTCTCAATAGTCCTTTTTTTGTCCGCAATAGATCTTCCCATTACACCTTTTAACACATAAATTACCTTAAATACCCTTCACCCACTCATCACCTCTTAATATTCATCATCTTTTAATATTCCTAACCTACCCCACCCACTAAAATTACTCACGGTCTATTTCACTGAATCCTACCATCTCTTCTTCTACAGTGTTCTTATCTAAACTTTTTATCTTTCATCTTCACTCATTCCCCCTCTCGCATCTGAATACTCTGAGATCGAAGGACATGCAGTCATCAATGGCAAAAATCAAAGTTTGGGAGTTGCCGATTCGCTAGTAGCTGACTCGATTGTTGGATTATAGGGTAAGGAGACACAATTTGAGCATATCTTCATCTCTGTATTTTTGTTCTGTGTTAGTTGTCTTTAGACTATTCTTTGGTACCCTAGAAATACTATGATGAGTCTAAATGCTCCAACCGTGCGTTTGATGAAGCATGTAGACTTTTGTGTGATATTTTTACATTCTGAGCCTGTTGTGATGCTTCTTGTTCTATGTGTTGTGCCCTGAACCTCTGTAACCAGTGTGCTTGATCCAATTATGTGTGTGTCCAATGTTGTTCCCTTTTATGTGATGTTATTACACCCTGGACAGGTTTTTTGCTTCTAAATGTGTTGTGCCTGAACCTGTGCAATGAGTAATGTGGTTATTTTTAATTATTTGAACATCTTTGATTATAAATTGACTTAGGGCTGTTTGTCAACTTCTGAATGGGTAAGTGCTGAATCAGTAAGAGGTCTGAATCATTAAGTGCTGAACCAGTAAGAGGTCTGAACCATTAAGAGCTAGTATATTGCTTAACTATTCAGAGGCAAATGTCAGATCAATTCAGATAACAGCTCTTAACCATTCAGACTCTGTATAATACTTAACCATTCAGAGGCAAATCTCTTAACCATTCAGAGGCAAATCTCTTAACCATTCAGACATCTGAACCATTAAGAGGCTGAAACAAACAGTCTGAACCATTAAGTGCTGAATCATTCAGACATCTGAACCATTAAGAGGCTGAAACAAACAGCCCCTTAGTATGTTTCATATGAATATGATGAAAAGGCCGATTATATTACCCTGTAGTAGTGTAACAAGTTCGTGTAACATCCATGGTGCATTTACGATACAAATCCCAAAAAACACAAATCCAAAAATAGCACCTAATCTGCCTATTCATCTATGTACAACCCAAAAACCCAAAAAGACAAAACATTATGTTGCACTACTGAAGTGGTTGCTCGAGTGTGTCAATGCGGTAGTTGTTCCCTCCTCTGACCCTCATTACCTCCTGCATGACGTATTGGTAGCTAAGCCACACCTTGTTCAGTGTGTAGGGTGATAGTGCATTAAAACTTTCCTCCACAGCTCCCACTAAGTCACTCACTGTCTTGGGAGCACATTGATTCCTTAGAGATTGTATGGATGCAAAAAATCCCAAATCCAATATGTTTCGGTCAGGAGAGTTTGGGGGTTGGTTACCCAGTGTTATGTGAAATCCTTGACTTGTAGCAACTCATTTGAAGTCCTCATCCATTCCCAGAAATGTGTGGCTTTGCATTGTTTTGTTGGATTTCAATACGCATATTGAAATGTGCTGGCCACTTCGGTTTAATTGCTGGCAAGATTTTTTGAATTAGCATGTCTTTGTAAACTGCCTTGTTTACACTTAACACTGGTTTAACTTCAAGTGTCCCGACTTCCCTGTTCTTACTTTTTCTCTTTGCTGCCACAATCTCTATAAACGGAAAAATCCCAATTTTTCCATCCCAAACAACATGACTATCTTCATTTATTATTGGCCTAACAACTACAGCTAAGAACATCACCTTGGCTATAAATCTCTTAGACTTACAAGATCTGTGTGGGTCTTCTTCATCTAGACCCAAGTAAAACCTCGGGTTTGACATGAAAAACCATTTTTCGTCTATGTGTATGACATTCTAAAAAATCTTGAAAGTGGGATTTGTGCTCAATGTCTGATCATTAATTTGACTCACACAAAACTTTAGCCTTTGAATCTTGTTGCCATCAGACAGAAATGGTTTAATGGCATTTGAATGCCTTCTAATCATGCCTTTCTTGATGATTTTATGCATTGTTGATTTTGCAATGGACCATAACGATGAAACTGTTCTTCTAGAGATTTTGAAATGAGCTGCAACCTTGTTTATTTTTCCTCTCGCAGCCAACCATTTCCCACTTCTAACTTGCCTCGCACATAGGAGTTCGTCTATAATATTCTGTCCTTCATTATCAGACATCTTTTTGGTGCATTTCTGTATATTGTTTTCATTTTGCAGGGGAACATTTTGCAAGATAATTTGCAGAATAGAAGAAGAATGCCCAGACTCCATGAAAAAGGTGAGAGTGAAAAGCTTTATGGGGGGAATTTTAACCTTTTGCAAATTTTCGACGAGTATTTTAATTTTTGGACTTTGAATTTTGTAATGATGTATGATGTGATGTTGGATTTTTTTGGGTTTACTCCATGAAAAATGCTAGGGGTACACCTTTGGTTCACCAAAGATGTACCCCATATGTCCCCCACTCACTCCTTGTCCACTAAAAAAAGCAAAAAAAATTAAAATAAAAATAAATAAAAATAAAATAAAAATGTGTGGTAAAGAAGAAAGTGGTGTACATTTGGGATACACCAAACCAAATGGTGTACCCCTAGCATTGCTCTTACTCCATTCGAAGCTGCCAATAGCCACTCTCACCCCATTTCGTTTTTAATGATTCAAAGTAAAGAGGGGCATTTTGATAAACATTTACTTTATTTCAATCTCCTAAAATACTAGGAAAAATCAAAATGTGAACATCTTACACGGATGGAGGGAGTATTTTTATTTTTATACTAATATGTAAATAAAATGAATTGAAAAAACTTAATATTTTAACTCAAAAATACAAATATGGCAAATAATTTAGAACAGAGGGAATATGTATTAAGCCTATTATATTAACTTAAAACTAGTAAGAAAAACATATAATTATAACTTCATTTTTGTTATATCATATTTTATAATAAAATATATGGTCTAAACGAATTCCTACATTAGACGATTTTTATCCGGAATTTTATCAATCATTAAGTTTGTACACAAAACCTTTAATCAAAACCTAATTTTTTATACTAAGATTATAAAATAAACATTTCCTCTATTTTTTTAGTTATCCATACATTAAAAAGGCAATTTAGGCCTTGTTTAATATCAACATTAAAGATTAAAATTAATATTTTGAAAAATTATCTAACAATAACTTATAATACTAATATTTTAAAAGTTAACCTATACAGTTTAAATTTATTCAAAACGTTAATTAAAAACACCCTTGTATACAAGGCCTCAATTTTTGACTCTATTTTAGTTTAAAATTTATTTTGGAGTGACAATCAATACTATATTCATACTCCGTCTCTAATAGATTCATCCTTTTTATTTATTCACTATTAAATCAACTCATTAATATTCATATCCATTTACACCATATATGAGAAAATTAAAATTCATACATAGAATGAATTATCAAATAATGAGAATTTTAATTAGTCAAGTAAAATATCAACAATATAAAAAAGCACATTCTCCCTTAAAAGTTAAAACCTGTCGCAAAAAAACGGTCAATGATAAGTAATGAATTTAAACAACCAAATCGACCCTCAATACTCTAATTATAATTATTTTAACTCCTCAATACATAATTTATGAATAAAATAAGTGTTTTTTGAAAATAAGTGCTTGAAAAATCTAACTCGTATCTTGAAAAATAATTAGTTTATAGAACAAAAATATGAATTATTCCATTGTTTGAAATGATTGGAAAAAGGGCAAGTCAGAATATCAATAAGCCTCGAAAAGTTATGCTCATAGAGGAATAAATCCCCTCACGCATCTAATCGACTCATCATTCTTGCCCATACATTTCCACACAATTAACTGCCAAATTCATGAAATTAAAAAAAATTTAAATCCAAACGGCAGTTAAAATTATTCAAAAAATAGAATTAAAATTAAAAAAAAAAAGAGAAAAAGGGACAAAAAAGAAGAAAACGAAAAATACCCAAAAATGATAATGAGAAGTGAAGAGAAGAGAGAACCCTGAGATCTTGCAGTGAGGCTTGTGTGTATATATACACGGCATAAAGGGCATAAGGGTCATTTAATCAGGGTCCATATTCTAGACCTAAGACCTAACCGTGTAGTCCTAGCCCATGGCACTCCAAGGCCCATTCGAGTTAAATTCATTACTCCCTATTTTGAATCATTAATTAAATGGAGTAAAAATTACAAAGTACTCTTTCCGTCCCTAGAAGAATGTCGCATTTACTTTTTCAATAGTCGTGAAAACTTTTTTTATTTATACGTGTTTATTGGTTATTTGATAAAACAAAATTTTCTTGACATTTCTTATTTCGAAGAACTTTTCATTGAGTTTTTAAATATTTAATTTCTTTTTTATTTCTATACCAATATTTAAATAAACTGAATTGAAAAAATTGATGTTTTGCCCCGTAAATCAAAATGTGGCAAACAAATAGGGACTGGGAGTATATTTTATCAATACTTTATTTAAAAATATGGGAAATTTTGACTTCATTTTCTCACCTTTGACTTTTATGATAAGTGTGTATTTTATAGTAATTGTATAAATGCATTTTATTATTATACATATAATAAAAAGGAAGAAATAAATTCAAAATGATATTCGTGTACTGTAATGGTAATGTATAAATGATAACTTATATTATAATACTCACTACGTCCTAAAATGATCTATCAGTTCAGTTCACGAAGTTTAATTGTAATTATTTTCAATTCAATTAATTTGATTATATGTATTAAATTAAAAAATAAAAATTATATATTTAAAAATTATATCAAAGATTCGGTAAAATATGAGGTAACATGACTATATTATTTTATCAAATAACTAACGAAAATAGATACACAAATGATTAAAGTTTGACCATGTAAATAGTGACTGAAAAGACCATTTTAGCACAGAGGGAATATTTCTTTTTATGCGTATAACAAAAAGGAGGAAATCTAATTTTGAGATTATAAAATAAATGTTGTTATTTTTTCCAACATTAGCATTACTTGTTTTACTCGGTTAAAATTTAAAAAAATTATGTTCAAGGAAAGATAGGTTTATGAAGTATTATATTCAAAGTTCAATGCAATTTCCAACATTAATATATAAACCAGATTCTTAAAATTCAATGAAAAAAATAAAAAAATAGTTAATGAAATAGCATCCTTACTTTTGTCAAGTAGAAAAACAATCCATTCACATTTTTAAAAATAGTAATGACATATACATATTGCTTTGAAATTTACATAAATGAGTGTGCGATACTCTACAATGTTCCAATTCAATTAGTGAAAATCAAACATTTGGAGGAAAAACAATAATCTCTGGTGGAACTTTTTGTCAAATATTACTAGTAATTCCAAAATGAACCAGGAAAGATATAGTTAATTCCAAAATCAAACGTGACTCACTATATTTTTTAAATTCTAAACAAAATACAAATAAACACTTCTAGTGTGTTTGATTGGGCATAAAATATTTTCCATAAAAATTCTGTTTCAATTTTCATGTGTCTGGTGACATTAGTGGAAGAAAAATAATTTCTTACCAAACAATGGATTATATGATTGAAAAATAATTTTTCTTGGAGTTATCTTCCTTTAGAAAATATTCTTCAAAGAAAATATTTTACCCCCAACCAAGCACAACCTTCATATTTTTATTCTACTCCTTCCATTTTTCAAAAATTTGAGAATACACACTTTTTGGAGTATTGAAAAAAGTCCTCAAAATCATAAGTTAAGTCACAACGATTCGTAGCCCTGGCTTACGGAGCCACTTTTGTATGTGTGTGCGTGTGCGCATGTGTGTGTGTATACACACACATACACAAAATTAAAAACGTAAGTTAAATCACAACGGTTTCGTAGCCCTGGTTTACGGAGCTATTGTTGCCATTTTGGAGCACCTCTAGTGCTTTGTTCGCAAAATAGATGGTTCCTATTCTCTTCCAAATGCATAATAGCCACACATTTAGAGGGAGGAAACATCTATTTTGCGAACGGTTTAGTGCTCCACAATGTCAGTGGCAGCAGCTCCATAAGCAAGAGGCTACAGAACCGCATCCAAGTTAAATTCTGCAACGCACGGGTGTTATACTAGCAGATTAAGGAGAATACAAGGTCAATATGATTTCTATACACATCAAGGAAGATTATCCATTTGGCATCTCCATGGATCCATTAGTTAATGTTACAGAGCAGATGCAGAAGCAATTGGAAGAGGGAGAGTTTGGAGACATACTAGAAATGGGCATCTTCTTCTTCACCATCCATCGTCAAGACTGGCGTGATGGAAACACAAGACAGTGCAGACGAATATGAAAAACGAGGTGAACTCAATAAACATCGCGCCTGTCCCTATCAAATCTGCATGTTTCAGAATGATAGGGATGGCAATGCTTCCCACTGCAGAAGCCCCTGTTAGAAACTTTGCTGCTTTAATCCATCTGTGTGAGTCAATGGAGTGAGCAGTTAGTCAGATAACAATGCCAACAATGCAAAAAAAACATATTTTTTATCCAAATACTAAAAACAATGTGAGAAAACCGATCTCATATATAAAGATTATTTAGCTATGATTTTTCAAAGATAATTTTCCAAGACTTTTGGAACATCATTAACCAAATCCAGTGGTAACATGAAGAAATCTAAAAAATAAACGTACCCATCACCATCTCTACTCATTAAGATTTGGGTGGATCCACCACCAAAGAACATACAAGGCATAGGCACCATGACATACATAAGAGCTGGCAAAATAATTACAACTCTGGTTAGAGAAAATGTCATTTTGACATCCAATTCACCCTACATAACTCCTTCTCAAGTACAAGATTTTGCACAAACCTGACAACATCGGCCACCAATTGTTGTATAATACACAAGCCTGACAATTCCAAAATCAAATAATCAATTGTTGACTAGTTACAAACATACAATCTACACACAGAAGCCTAAACAAGGTTTACATAATCAATATCAACCGCATGATTCCACTTTTCGTCATTATGTGTATTGTGTGCAACTTTCTCAAGTCCCAAACAGTGGGACAGAGAGAGTATAGTTGTTTTTAAGATTTACTATTGTACGAATTAAATACTGAAGAAATATTCATTTAGCTTACTCCTAAAAGGTATTCTGCTAGGGATTAAATTATTTTCCCGTTCACGTTTCGAATCCCATTGAGTTTTTAAAAAATGGTTCCCTTAAGATTTACATGATCTTGAGTATACTATTACACACAACCTGTTGTAATCCCTACTATTACATCAAGTTGTGCCATGTGTATAAGGGGCAAATTAGTTGAACTTGAACCTACCAGGATTTGTAGCAGAATGCTCGTGGAAAACATGAAAGCAAGCCCCGCAAGCCTGTTAGTAAGGAACCACTTTTGAATGTATTCATCTCAACATTTTAAAATCACAAAAAAAGGAGTAAATATTCCAACTCACACTTCAATCAGCAATCAAAGTCCATATAGTCCCATAGTGGATCCACAAGAAGCCAACACCAAGAGAAAGAAAGTTAGTTAGTATAGTACACCTAGTCACATAAAATAAAATAAGATGAAAAGAGCACAAAATAATTTACTTACTCAATGATCCTAAAATCTTCTGCAACATTTGGTGTTATTAATTAAATATATTGCTTTATCAAATATAATTTATCATTTTTTAAAAAATATGAAGATAAGTTTTAGTTAAGTTCAGGTTTGATTCTGTAAAAGGCTGCCAACTGAGAAAAAGTGGAAACTCATCCAAACCAGTGGCATAAAGATAAGAATATGGGATAAAGAATATCTTTGATTTTACACTAAGAAGGTCAATATTAGTTATGTTCATTTCATACTGGCCTAGCTGAGAGCCTCCCTAATTTATTTTTTTTAAAAATGATATTTGTATACACAAGCATGACTACCATACAAAAGTAAACAATACGAGTAACATTTAACAGTTAGTAAAAAATGACAACTTCTGTATGACATTCTGCGTTGTTGAATGTTTGTTAGAACCAAAATGTCTATCAGAAACATGAACATCTTGACCCCAAGAACCCAATGAGGTTGGGATCATACTAGGTTTTTTTGTCATATCCACTCAAATATGAATGAAACACAAATTTAAAAACATAAAAGAAACTCAAATTAAGTAAACCAACATTATCCTCAAACATTCTTTACTAAAAATTCCAAAAATCTTTTTCATGACATTTGAGTAGTGATGACCACCGTATCATGCCCAAAACCAAATTTCTAACAATGTAGACTTCACTATTTACAGTAAAGTAGAGAATCAAACATGGCAAATAATGATAGAAATATAACACATTGAATTACATAGATATGAATCATGGGTCCACTGACAGAGTTGGAGGCGAAGGAGGGGGACGTACCTTCTACGCTCATCGTCATTCTCTTTAGTTGAGAAGCACAAATATTAGATTTATACTGTTGATCCAATGTTGAATTAAAGCATCCTAAAATCAATCTAAATGTGATTACCAAAGAAAAACAGACCGAAGAAACAATATAATTATATGGGTAGGCTCTCAAATGAAGAAGCACAAATGCTGATTGCTGAAGTATTCAGAAATATGTGTAAAACAATCATCTAAATCATTGTTCTCAATCCTTACCATTGTAAAATTTTAATACTCCTCGTAATTAGTATCAAAAGTCTAAATTTCAAGTAGGATCTTGTTTATTTACGGGTCACTTTTTCTAAGTGTCACTGGTTATAGATTATTCTAAGATAGTTGTATTGGGGGGTTGGCAGCAAAACACAAGTAGAACGAAACTAATGAATTACTCTCTACTACCTCCATTCGTATTTAGTTGTTCAATGGTTCCAACCCCTCAAATTTAGGGAAATGTGGTTAATTGAAAAAACTTCCACCTATGTTTATCACTTGGTTCAATGCCATCTTAAAGTTCATGTACAAGTCTATTTCCCCTCAATGACGTGCTTCGTACTTCCTCCAAATTTTAATACTAATTCTAAATAAGGCGAGTGGACAACTAACTCACTATATCCTAAAATAGATTAGTGGGTAATTAAAACTGGAGGGAGGAAAACAAGCCCTTCACGCCTGTTATTAAGGAACCACATTTGAATATATTCATCTCAATGGTTTGGATTTAAAAAAAATTAAATATTATAACTTACAATTCAATCAGCAAAAGTCCATACAGTGGATCCACAAGAAGCCAACATCAGAAGAAAGCAAGTTAATATAGTATACTCAATCACCTAAAATAAAATAAGCTGAAAAGGAAACCATAGCTAGAGCATTAAAAATTATTCCTTGGCTATATATAGTTTTGAGTAAATTCCAAAAGTGGTCTTTGGTGTTTCGTGTTAGTCCATCATACAAACAAATACTCCTAGTCAGGGCCGGTCTTGAGGATTCATCAGCCTGGGCCGAAACAGAAAAAGACCCTAAAAGTCTTAATGGTCTAAAAAATTCACATATGTAAACTAATTATATTTAAATTATAATTAACGCAATATTATATAAATGACATATATATTTTTTGTAATTTATCAGTTTTTATTTTTTTTCGGTTTTCAGTTTTTTTTAATATAAATATATAATTATCATAAACAACAAATTCAAATCAATTCATCTAAATCAAATAAATATCATATAGAACCATTCATTCATTCTATTTCAAAGAATGAAATTAGAAAAGATTTCAAATTAAAAACTAAGAGTTGACCCTATATTTTAAATCAAAAAAATGAAACAATGAAAGAAAATTAAAATTTAAGAAATAAAAATTACAAAATTGGAGGGTGGAGCCGTGCAGGTCCGGCGGTAGAGGTGGCGAGTCGGGCAGTCGTCTCTCTTGTTTCTTCCGGTGACGTTTCTGGCTTTCTGCGTTTCTTCGGACTTCGTTCGGCACTTGCACTCGTACTTCAGTTTTTTTTTTGTCTACAGAATACGGATGGAGACATGGAGTGATGGACTGGGCTAGAGTGCTAGAGGTTATAAGTTAAGGGGTGGATTGGATCTGGGCTTATATATATATATATATATAATATTTTAAAAAAATTTGTGCAAAATTTTTTGGGCCCGGGCCGGACGGATACCTTGTCCCCCTATTGGGCCGGCCCTGCTCCTAGTGGTTCTACATACTTGAGAGTAGTGAATACTTCCAACAGAGGTCCCCTGTATAACCTTCCGCCAGTCGATCATTAAGTTGAATGGTAAATTTCTGTGGACGTCCTTTGTAAGTTAAGAACATTTAGTCCTTTATATTGTTGTATCCATTCAAATATGGAATAAACTCAAATAAGTCAACCAATATTATCCAATCATAATAAAGAAACAATCTTTACTAAAAATCCCCAAAAAAATCAAGATGCAAGAACATTTAAGTAGTATGACCCTATAATACTCTAAAACCAGATCCCCAACGATGTGGACTTCACTATTTACACTAAAGAAGAATATCAATCATGGCTAGTAATGATAGAAAAATATAGTACTGAATTAGATCAATATCAATTGCAGATTTACAAACAGAATAAAAGTTGGTATCCTTCAAAATTTTAATAACAACATATTGGTTGCAAATGCTTAAAAATGTCTTAGGGTGCCATTTGGCTTTGAACCTTCCATTATAAAAATGTCTTTGGTTGAAATGACTGATAGAAGTGTTGTGGATTTTCATTCGACTCCGTCGTCTTCAACAATTCTCCGACCTTCCCCGTCTATTCCAGGTACTCAGATTCTGTATTTTATGCTCCTCCTAACGTAGACCACTATCTCTAATTTTGCATTCCGGTAGGGGAAAATTTCCTTGTTATTTTATGTTGGGGGAAATATCTTGCAAAAAAATTGTTTATCCTTGAAAGTTTCCTGATTTTGATTGCAAAGTATTATTACAGAGTATTATTATTATTATTAGTCAATTCATCATTATCTTCGGCAGCTGTACCTCGCTGCCGCGTTGCCTATTGAGTTGCATTGGATTTTCGCTACACGCACTAGAATAATAATAATAATAATAATAATAATCGTGATAGTAATAGTAATAGTAATAATAATCGTAATAATAATAATAATAATAATAATAATAATAAAAGGAAAAAAGGAAAACCCCCCATAGTAACTTTTTGGATATTTTAGGGTACCCCGGAGTATATTTTTAAAAATGATGGGACCTGAAAGTTACTTTTATAAAATTGGGGTACCTAAAAGCAATTTTTAGAAAGAAAATAATGAAAAGTTAACGGAGGAAATGAATTTGACGGGGGGAAGGACGGAAAGGCTCCCCGGAGTTAGTTTTCAGATAATTAAAGGTACCCAGAGTATATTTTAAAAAGATTTGGGACATGTGAATTCTTATCACAAAACCGAGGATACCTAGCAGCAATTTTCTGTATTTTTTTCTATTAAAACTCCTCCCTCCAGAAAAAGGCAGTCGTTTTTTAGAACAACCAGAGAATCTCAGATAGATTTTCATTCGACTCCATCGTCTTCAACAGTTCTCCGACCTTCCCAGTCTATTCCAGGTACTAAGATTCTGTATTTTATGCTCCTCCTAATGTAGACGACTATCTCTGGTTTTGCATTCTGGTAAGGGAAAATTTCCTTGTTATTTCATGTTGGGGGAAATATCTTGGATGCAAATGCTTAAAAATGTCTTAGGGTGCCATTTGGCTTTGAACCTTCCATTATACAAGGTTTTTTTGTCATATCCACTCAAATATGAAGGAAACACAAATTTAAAAACATAAAAGAAACTCATATTAGTTAACCAACATTATCATATCATAATCATAAGAAACAAACATTCTTTACTAAAAATTCCAAAAATCTTTTTCACAACATTTGAGTAGTGATGACCACCGTATCATGCCCAAAACCAAATTTCTAACAATGTGGACTTCACTATTTACAGTAAAGTAGAGAATCAAACATGGCAAATAATGATAGAAATATAACACATTGAATTACAAAGATATGAATCACTGGTTTACTGACAGAGTTGCAGGCAAAGGAGGGGGGCATACCTTCTACGCTCATCGTCATTCTCTTTAGTTGAAAAGCACCAAAATTAAATTAATATTGTTGATCCAATGTTGAATTAAAGCATTTAAAATCAATTTAAATGTGATTACTAAAGAAAAACAGACCGAAGAAACAATATAATTATATGGGTAGGCTCTCAAATGAAGAAGCAAATATGCTGATTGCTGAAGTATTCAGAAATATATGTAAAACAATCATCTAAATCATTGTTCTCAATTCTTACCATTGTAAAATTTTAATACCCCTCGTAATTAGTATCAGAAGTCTAAATTTCAAGTCGGATCTTGTTTATTTACGGGTCACTTTTTCTAAGTGTCACTAGTTAAAGAAATAATAGAATATTCTAAGATAGTTGTATTGGGGGGTTGGAAGCAAAACACAAGTAGAACGAAACTAATGAATTACTCCCTACTACCTCCGTCCGTATTTAGTTGTTCAATGGTTCCAACCCCTCAAATTTAGGGAAATGAGATTAATTAAAAAACCTTACATCTATATTCATCACTTGGTTCAATGCCATCTTAAAGTTCATGTACAAGTCTATTTCCCCTCAATGACGTGCTTCGTACTTCCTCCAAATTTCAATACTAAATAAGGCGAGTGGACAACTAACTCAGTATATCCTAAAATAGATTAGTGGGTAATTAAAACTGGAGGGAGGAAACCCCTAAAATAGATTAGTTACACTCCCAACCTCTAGGAAAAGGTGCATATCTTTCATTTTTGTTCATACCAAAAATGGGTTCTTTCCTCAAGAAAAATGATTGAAATGTGAGTTTCATATTACCATAAAAAAATTATAAAAACCATACAATTTCATACAATCGTTCTAGAATATGTAAGGTAGGGTTTCATATTTCAGAGTGTTTTGGCCAGAAGCCCATACATATGTTAGGGTAATGAAAAAATCCAAAATTAGGGTTTCATGCATGGAAAATTGAAAGTTAAAGACAAGCCTTGTGAGGAAAAAGCTGAGAAGTAAAATACGGAATCTGAGTACCTTAGATTGGATTGAGAGGAAGGGAGAACTGTTGAAGACGATGGAGTCGAGAAGGAAGCTTGTAGAAAAAATCTATCTCAGATTCTCTTAGGAGGAGTAACTCGTTAACTCGCTGGGTCCGTACGGATGTGACTCGTTACTCGGTAATGAGTTCCTAACCCAAAACCCGAATGTGTTTAGCCCCAGATGTTAGCCCAAAACCTCCATAAAAAGTTAAAAACAATCCGAGAGAAAATTATTGCAGTTATTGCATAATAATATTCTAATGATCATTTAAATAATGAGTAATTTACATAAATATGACTAAAACATAATGACTTTCTCAATATAAGACCATATGTTTTTATTTTCCAATGTATGTTGGTCTTTATCTATTAGTCATTATTCAACTAAATATCCAGCATCACTAGGACATTATTTTTCTCACAAGTCATTATTAAATCCTATTTAAAGAATAAAAAAGTTTAAGTCCTACACTGGGAAATAACTTATGTTTTAGTTCTATTCAGTGCAAATTTCACTTAATATTTATGTTTTGTTAAATTATAAATATTTTGTAAAACAAAATCTACAAATTAACTACTCCGTACTATGTTATATATAAATATTTGAACACTTGATTTCCTTCGCAATATTTAAATATCAATATATTATCTAATTTGTCTTTCGGAGTATAAAAACTAATAAACTTAGATTATTTAAAATTATTTAAATGTATACATCATCACAAAATTTTACAGTATAATATTAGCCTTTGAATAGTTTCATAATGAAATGAATGTACAAACCATGGAATTGGAATCGGAGAATTTCAACTCTCAATTCAATTCCAATTCCGTCAATTCCGTCCGTGTACCAAACGGACCCTAATCCAGAGAAAGTTCACCATTTTCTCAACAAAGCAAAACTTCTTGAATTATCATCTCACTTCCAAGAACCAAAATCAATAGATTGAAGAGAAATATGACCCAGAAACAGATCTTTCAAATGATCATTACACAGCCCAAACCTCCTCCTGTGTAAACCAGGGTGTATGCAGCTCGAAAACCCCGTTTTCCAGCCTGGAAACTTCTGCCTCTCCATCACATGAAGAGAATACACGCGTGGGGCCGCGGCCCCACACCCCACGACAAAACAGTTGCAGGGGCGGGACCCACTGACCGCCCGAGCCAAAGACAGCAGGCACGCGCCACTGTACGCAATCCCATAGGTCAACGATTCGTCGTCATCGGCTTTCTGAGATGCCGGGGCCCGCTCAAACTCGTCATCTTCAATGTCAGCACTTGAAGGGATTCTGCTCAGCTCTGAATCAAACATATTCTCAATCACTTTCTCATGGATTCTGTACTTTGCTGCCAGTGTTCTAACGCAAGACATCCTCAGTTGGTGACAGATGACCAACTTCACTTCATTGAAGTTGTCAAACTCACTGTACCACCTGAGGAGCCGCGTGGCTATGCCAGAAAACCAATCAATGATGTGGTCGCGGTCCAGAAAAATGAGGACATGACATGTATGGGGAAACCCATCAATGTTTGTCAACCCGTACCTGTATAAACACTTCTTAATGGCATTAATGGGGGCAATAATCTGGGTTTTGAACGAAGAAGTTGGGTTAGGGAGAAGGGCTAGAGTTGCAGATGTTTCTGAAGAAACATATTTGTCGACTTGGTTTTGGAATTCATAAAAGGAATCTCTTAGTTCTTTTGGGAGGGACGGTTCGACCATGTGTTTGGATAAGATGAATTCCTGACTCTCTGCATTTTCACCATTCACATCTTGGATCCACACTTTTAGTAAGACTTTGAACCAGTGATCAGTTTCCATTCCAGATTTACGGTGGCAGGAAATTTCACTTAAAGTAGAGGTATCATCTGCTAAATGTTTGATCTCGGATTCTTTCACCTTCTTAAGCCCGTGGGCCAGACATTTCTTCCCAATCCTAAGGGTCCCTCTGTCCCACGCCTCTTGTCTCTGAGCCGCAAATAACCTTACTTTTTCCTTCAATTTGTGAACTGCTTTTACCGCGGGAATCTCTACTGGGCTTCTTTTGACCAAGCAGCCCAGGAACCGAACCCCTGCAGGCCCATCGCATGGCAAAATATCATCATCATCATCATCATTGTCAACTTCCAAGTGAAGAGAGTTTTTCATGAAATCTCGAAGTTCAGACTTTAAAGAAACAGCAACTTCTTTGCTACCGGAGACCGCGACGAAAACCTCATCCATGAAACGGCAACTTTGCACCCTATTACCAGAATACCCATCAGTGGAGCCACCGCGATTCATTTGCCTCTTAAACCAATCGCGCAGCTTAGAACGGGTCCCTTCTCCTTCGGTCTTCAGTCCCGTGTCAAGAAGAGCTTCGTATCTCATTGACAATCTGTACATTTCTCGGTCCAAGAGGTCAAGATATATGTTCATCAATATAGGTGATAATGTCCCCTCTTGTGGGAGACCGTGTCCTTTAGGAAAACCACCAAATTCTAAATTCAGGACTTGACAGTCAAACATGCTCCAGATTACATCATATAGCATAGTATCCCTAATCATGTCTTCCATGACCAAAAAAAGTTTGGCAAAGATGAAACCGTCAAGCTTTTTGTTTATAGATAATGTAAACCACCAGTTGGCGTCCTTCATATCCTTACAGATGTATTTAAGTGCAGAAAGGTGACTTCTTCCACTTCTACACCCGTGTGAGATCTTAGAGAATTTCGGTCTGTAAACAACTTCCAACACTATTTTAATAGCTTCTTGAACAACTTTAAGCTTAACGTTAGGAAGGACAATTACTTCTTTTGTTGGACCCCTACTTGCAATTGAATACGTGTTAGCACTTACCTTGAAATGCCCAAGGGATAACTCTTCTGCCATGGATTCAAAAGGCAAGTCATCTCCATTCAACACAGGATCAACATTAGAGTTCAGTCTAATACACTCATAAGCATCCCGAAGAGTCTCGGGATCACTAATCACTTTTTCCATTAGGTCCTTAAACTTACCATCTGCATATTGTGCCTTCACCTTCTTCTTGGTTTTCCGTTCGAGAAACCTCTTCCGCTCCATCCTAGACATCTGTTTTGTGTCCATAGCTATAGAGGTCTCCTCAACTAAGCTGGCCAAGTTCTGTGCTAATGACATAGTGGTTTTTTCATTCTGAAGAACTGAAGATTCCTCAACCAAAGATGCTAAACCGTTTGCTAGGCTGCTATAATCCTTGCTGCGATTGTCTCCAAAGTTTTCATTAACAGTTGAATGAAATGCGGCACATATAAATCTTTGCATAGGTTTCCCTACAACAAGTTACGAACACGATTTTTTAAATCTTTTTGTTTATCACACAACACAAAACACTGAAGAAACTTCTACTTGTTCTCAAATTCAAATTACCAATATAAAAAGCTCAGATCTTGGGAAACAAACAAAAAAATACCCACGAGTCTTCAAAGATTTGGATTGGAATGGAAAAAGAATGAGAAAATATAAAAAGAGAGAACCTGACCTGTTTCCACTATCAAAGATGATAAAATGTTGCAGTTGCTGAAAAGGCGCAACCTTGCAGCCATGTGCAAAAGTGGCAAATTAGTTGAACACTTGAACCTGTCAGGATTTGTAGCAGGATGCTCGTGGAAAACATGAAAACAAGCCCCGCACGCCTGTTATTAAGGAGCCACATTTGAATAGATTCATCTCAATGGTTTAGAATTTTTTTTAAAAAAAATTAAATATTCTAACTTACAATTCAATCAGCAAAAGTCCATACAGTGGATCCACAGGAAGCGAACAGCAGAAGAAAACAAGTTAATATAGTATACTCAATCACCTAAAATAAAATAAGCTGAAAAGGAAACCATAGCTAAAGCATTAAAAATTATTCCTAGGCTATATATAATTTTGAGTAAATTCCAAAAGTGGTCTTTGGCATTTCGTGTTAGTCCATCATACAAACAAATACTCCTAATGGTTCTACATACTTGAGAATAGTGATTACTTCCAACAGAGGTCCCCTATATAACCTTCTGCCAGTTGACCATTAAGTTGAATGGTAAATTTCTGTTGGCGTCCTTTGTAAGTTAAGAACATTTAGTCCTTTTCATTGTTGTATCCATTCAAATATGGAATAAACTCAATAAGTCAACCAATATTATCCAATCATAATAAAGAAACAATCTTTACTAAAAAATCCCCCCCAAAAAAATCAAGATGCAAGAACATTTGAGTAGTATGACCCTATCATGCTCTAAAACCAGATTCCCAACGATGTTGACTTCACTATTTACACTAAAGAAGAAAATCAATCATGGCTAGTAATGATAGAAAAATAAAGTACTGAATTAGATCATTATCAATTGCAGATTTACAGACAGAATAACAGGCAAATGATAAAAAAACATGTGAATGGGGGGAAGAGGCGTACATTCTATGCTCATCGTCATTCTCTTTAGTGCGTGAAGCGTCAATATAAGAATAATATTGTTGATCCAATGTCGAATTAAGGCCTCCTGAAATCTATCTAAATCTGAATACCCGACCAAAACAGACTGAAGAAAGCACAAATGCTGATTGCTAAAGTATCCATCACATTTTGATAGCTTGCCTTAGCTTTAGACTTTTGTTATTTACAATATACAGCGGGAAGGAGGATTGAACAGAGATTTATTTACAACAACAAAAAAAACTAATCATAGATGGGCACTTAGAATGAAGAGGTGAAAAAGGGCTCGTACAATCACTCTATAAACTGAACTTAGAAAGTTTAACTTTTTTTCAAAATGGCAATCCAACATCTTTGCGTAAAGAGTTGACTTTTTTTGGACTTGTTTACAGCAATAGAGGACCCCTTGCATAGATATGTATTTAGAGTTTGATTTTCGAACTTCAGTTGTTTAGGAATTAGGAGTTAGGATGTCTCATAATCTCATTTAGTCTTTTATTTTGCAATTTAGATATTAACCACTTGGTTTTTTAGTTTAGATCTACTGTGGGAATAGTAGATGGAGCTTACTACTTTTGTCTTCACATAATTTTCCACTTTGGCTATTCGTACGATAGTGAACTCTTGAAAGATCTGTATTATTTCTTCATCGAATGGTTGATTGGCCATTCTTGTCACTAATTGTTTCTTTTCCTTGCATATTCCTAACCTTTTTTGTGAAAAAAACATTGTCTATTCTTGGATATTTCAACAATGGAGCATTCCTTGTAGAATGTTGGTATCCTTCAAAATTTTAATTACAACATATTGGTTGCAAATGCTTAAAAATGTCTTGGGGTGCCATTAGGCTTTGAACCTTCCATTATGAATGAGATGGCATCTGCATTCTTTCCAATCCATCACGTCAATGACTGATAAAAGTGTTATGGATTTTTCAATTTTGTCATGAATTCTTCTTCTGCCTCACACACACTTTGTGGCGTAATACGGTTATCTAACCCAAAACTAGTCCAATACTATTGGAACCAATACGGTGTCGTACAATTGAATTCTTTTACATACAAACTAAACATTTGTTCTTTCATAATTCTTCTCATTTGTAGAAGAATTCAGTTATCTAACACCATATTGGTCCCAACATCCAAGGATTGTTAAAAATATCACTTCACAGCAGGGCCGGTCCTGAGAACTCATCAGCCTGGGCCGAAACAGAAAAAAGGCCCTAAGAGTCTTATCCTTAATGGTCTAAAAAATTTACATATGTAAATTAATTATATTTAAATTATAATTAACACAATATTATTAGAAGAAAAAAATAAATGACAAAATAGCTATTGAATTATTTCTGAAATAAAATCTAAATTCATAAATTCTACTAAGTAAAATCAAGAATAAAAAACTGAAAAAATCAAGCAAATAAATAAATAAATATATCATAAATTAATATCAATTCGTCAATTTTTTCTTTTTTTAATTGTTTTTTCTTTTTCAGTTTAAATTTTTTTATAAATCATAAATTCATATCAATCCATCAATTTATCAGTTTTTAATTTTTTTTCGGTTTTCAGTTTTTTTAAATATAAATATATAATTATCATAAATAAAAAATTCAAATCAATTCATCCAAATCAAATACATTACATATAGAACCATTCATTCATTCTATTTCAATGAATGAAATTAAAAAATATTTCAAATTAAAAACTAAGAGTTAAACCTAAATTTTGACTCTAAAAATGAAACAATGAAAGAAAATTAAGATTTAAGAAATAAAAATTACAAAATTGGAAAGGGAAGGCTATGAATAATTACCTGGAGGGTGGAGCCGTGCAGGTCCGGCGGGAGAGGCGGAGGGTGGAGCCGTGCAGGTCCGGTCCTTTCTTGACGTTTGTGCTTCGATCGGCGCTTCACTTTCACTTTTCTTCTTTTTTTTGTCTACAGAATACGGATGTATGGATTGGGCTAGAGGTGTAATAAGTTAAGGGAATAAAGGATGGGTCATGGTCGGATTGGGCCTGGGTTTATATACATATATATAATATGTATAATACTTAAAAAAATTTGTGCCCCTAAAATTTTTGGGCCCGGCCCGGACAGACATTTTGTCCCCCTATTGGGCCGGCCCTGTTACAAGGGATATGAGAGAGATCATGAAAGGTCATTTTCTCTTGTGTAATCATAATATCTGTTAGAATATAAGAAATATTTCCTGGGCCACAACTACAAACTTGAGCTTTTGGTTGAATCGGTTTCTTAACATGGTATCAGAGCCTTGATGACCAAGAGTTCACGAGTTCGAAACCCACCGCCATCCAGTTAAAAAAATTAAGGTTTTAGGAGAAGCGGAGGTGATTGATGCGAGTGTGGGGCCATCTAAACGAGTCAAGATATGCGCGGCCATTACGTCGGAGTGCAAGGCGGAGATGTCCGCTCCCCCGCCCTGCTCCGCCGCGGATGAAGGTGCCGGAAAAGGAATCATTATATTTGAAAGAATTGAAGTGTATGTTTTCTAACTACATCTAAGCATTATATACCCCATCGAATACTAATATTCAGTCACTATTATTTATTTTTCTTAATTAAAATAAATATATTTTAAGGTATAAACTAAAACAAATTTATATGGAGTATATATTAATCAAAGAATGGTTTAATTAAATTTATTTTATAAAATGTTTTCAAAATATTATTTTATTTAATATTTTCCGTACTATGTAATCTTTTATGATTTACTTAAATAACACTAAAACATAACGACTTTCTCTAAATAGCATCGCATTGTTTTTTTCAATGTAGCACTTTTAGTCATTATCAATTAGTCATTATTCAAGTAAAAGTTCGTCATCACTGACATTATGCACATTATTAAGTTCTATTTAGAAAATAAAATAATTTAAGTACTATTTACAGAAATGACTTAAGTTTTAGTGCTATTAATATTTCATCTTTTATTTAATTTTAATCAAAAAGTTGGTTCGAGCTTTTGTTGAAACAATATATATATATATATATATATATATATATATATATATATATATATATATATATATATATATATATATATATATAATTATTTTCTTGACTTAGAAAATTGGAAACAGGTGCAAGCAAGCAAGCTTTCTTTTGACTATACACAAGTAGCTTTTGACTTATATTTGGTCACATTTATCTTTTCTACGCTAGCTTCCCACGCAAGCAAATACTCTTTCCCTCCTAAATAAATTTTGGTAGTTGTGTGGAGTTTTATTCGTAATTAAAAGAAAGATAAAGGTTGTGATGTTCATATTTTATTTTCAAATTAAAAAAAAAGTTAAAATTTAATTTAGGACGATAAAAACATATACTCCCTATAAAATTTATTTTGAGATGAATGGAATACATATATATATCTACCAACAGTTTATTTGTTCTTAAAAAAATTTAAATAATTGTCTAGTCATGTTCTTAAACAACTTCCTATATTAATTTTAATTTTAATGCATGTAGATAGTCATAATGTGCTAGAGTATTAAATCTTTTTAAAATTCACAACCACAAATTTGAGCTTTCGGTTGAGTTCGGTCCTTGACACGATATTAACGTTTTGATTACCAAAAAATCACGAATTTGAAACTCACCGCTACCTAATGTTATAAAATTAATGTCACGTGCAAGGCCCGAGCAAAAATAAAGATCATGTGCACGTGAGGGACGTGTTAGATTGTTGGAGTATTCAACCCTTTTGAGCATACCTACAAGGTTACAACCATAATAAGTTGGATTATGCTATGTGTATCCCAAGATTTGTACCCCAATTTGTACCCTGCAGTTTTGCACCAACATTTTGTGTTGGTGTAAAACTAATTTTTGTTAAACGCACCAACATTTGTGTCCCTGTGAATTTTTATTAACGCACCAACACTTGTGTCGGTGTAAACCATCGAAATGTTTGTGCAAACCTGTGGTGTACAAATGGGGTATATTTGTTGGTGTAAGTGTAGCATGGTCCTAATAGGTTTAATTTGAGCTTTTAGTTGGGTTAGTTTCTTAACATAGTATCAGAACTTTATTAATCAAGATGAAGTCATGACTTCAAATTTCAATGCCACGCACGCAATTTTCAAAAAACTAGTGATCATTTACAAGACTCGAGCAAAATCAAATATCGCATGTATGTGAAAGAACGCATGTGTTAAAGTATATAATTTTCTTGGGCAACTATATTGCACTATAAACAACCCCCTTGTGATTTGGTAAATGTGTACGGTCACCCATTATGGTTTCAAAACTTATACCGTTACCTCTCAGCTCATGGTTCTGTTAAGCCAATGCTCCGTTAGACTAAAATATCTTTCAAATTAAATATTATGAGAATAACTCCACTGCCCCCATGGTTTTGGAAATTGGCACAAATGTCCCTCTTTTTTTATTGTTTTTCTTTTTTCTACTATTTTTTTCATAAATGTTTTTAATTTTTAAAATAATGTTTTAATAATCAATTTCTCTGTGTTTGCAATAAAAATCAATTAAATAACAAGAATTAATGTACACTTCATTTATTTGTCTCAAATTAAACACTTTTATTTTTTCCCAAAAGATATCTTTATTAATTCATTTTCATGATGCAAAAATCAATGAAATATTCTCTTCTTTTACTAAACATCATTTTTTTTATTTTTGTTAATTAATTTATACCATTTCTTTTATTTTAATCAAAATCAAAATAAAATAAAAAATAATATAGAATAAAATAAAGAAAAAGAAAAGCATATGAAAAAATACTTTTATAGAATAGGAATAATTAAGTCAGGAAGGAAATCTTTTGCGCATTGGTCAAAAAATGTTGCTAATATATGATTAACTATATATTAATAAGATGTTACTCAATATTCTTTTGGCCCCGACATTCAAAAAGATAAAATAAAACTTTTTTTAGATAAAAAACAAAAATATTTAGCTTGAAAAATGAAGTATATGTAAAATCTTTTATTTGATTTTTAAATTTCAAACACAAACGTCTTTTAAATTTTTTAAAACTTTTTTTAAAAATGTAGGTTTGAAAAAACAATTTTCCATTATTTCACACACAAACATTTTTCTTATCTTTATGGAAAAAGATAAAAAAAAATCAAAAAAGAATAAAGAAAAAGGAAAGGAGGCATTGGCGCCGGTTTCCAAAAACCATAGGGTCAGCGAAGTTATTCACATAATATTTGAAGAATATTTTTATCTAGAGGAGCATTGACGTAACAGTATCAGAACCACGAGAAGCAACAACGTAAGTTTTGAAACTATGAGGATAACGGTGCACATCTGCCAAATTACGAGTGTAGATGCAATAGACTCTTTCTTGGTAATCGTGGGTCCATAATCATAAGCTTGTGATTGAGTTAATTTTTCGACATATTGTACAATTATTCAAACACAAATAGACAACATAACTGACGAAATTGAATTAATTTTTAGGGTTAATTTTTTCTAGTTTTATTAAATGGACATGATGCATTAGATTTTCAATGGAATTTTAATTGATCATAGGTGGATTGTTCAAGATTTATTTTCCTTCGAAGCCATATAGTGGTTCAAACTTCACAGTCAATATTAAAACACTAGAAAGTGTTCGTGGTAAATTGAAAGCTTCGGTAAGGACTATAATTAGATGTCCATTTTAAATTAGATGTCCATTTTATGGAAGACGGGGTAAGACTATTTATATCAAATTTAAACTTAAAATGTAATAAATCTTACAGTAATATATTTCTAAGTCATTACGCTAAAACCAAAATAATTGATATTCTGATCTCATACTACATTTTTTGATTATATTACTTCTCATATTTTGCAAATTAAAAAGTACACTAAATTATAAAAACAAGTTAGCATAAAAGACAAATAATGCAAGTTTAAAAAAATTGAAAAAAAATTACAGATTGATAAAAATATGAAAGAAAATAAAAATGAAGTACCCCAAATTACAACCTATATTTGGGTTTAAAATACTGCACACCCCATTTCTTAAATAAAGTTCATCTTTTGTTTTTTCTTTGTCAATAAATAAACTTCTCTTTTCCCTTAAAAAACCCTTTTACCCTTTACTTTTTCATACCCTACCTATCACATCATACCTTTTTACTAATAATCTACCTATCACATCTTACTTTAACACATCACATCAAGGGTATTTTTGGAAAGTCAACACCAAAATATCCCTCCCTTAAATCCTCAAAAAGTCAAAAATGGAACTTTATTTAGGGACGGAGGGAGTAAAATATTAGGAGTGATTGGTTCTGTTAAATACGGTGACTTTGTTGATAATTGTTTGTCATTGATAATTGCGTTCAATATTTTACTCCCTTCATCCTATATCTTTCTTCCCGTTGTGCAAAACGAAGAAAAATCCCAAGTTTTTTCAATCTATTTTATTTAAATATTGGTATAGAAATAAAAAATAAAACATACATATTTAAAAATTACATCAAACGTTCAACAATACAAGTGGTGACAAGAATATTTTATTTTATCATATAGGTCATGAAAAAACACAAATAAATATAAATTCCTGTGGGGTTGAAATAGTGCTTTGAGAAGAAAGTTTTAGGACGGAGGGAGTAGTAGACATTGATCATTCTCCCAAATCAATTAAACATATTTAAGAATATTCACCCAATTGTTAGAAAATGTGTCCAACTCTACAGGGACGAATAAAATTATTTATTTTAAAAAGTTTTTTGTTGTTGTATATGAATGAACGAAAGTAAATTATACGGAGTACTAGGAAATACTTTTGGTTAAAACATGTTAGGAAAAGTTTCGAACAATAAATTGTGTAAATGTAAAAATAATCTTATGAGTAAAGCGTGTCTCGTTTTCAAATGATTTACTAAAATAAATTTGAACTAACTAAAAAAAACTCGCGTGGTAAACTATTTTCAGAGTAAGCTAATGTTGCATTATTCATAAAA